GGCTCAAGGTTGAAGGTATGTTTATCAGAACAGCGGCGTGCTCATTTATATGTTAATGACAATAATTATTTTTTTAATTAAAATTAAATATTTATGATTTCTTTTTGTTCCCGTCTATAAGAGAAATAATTATTTTGATAAAATAGTATGGCATTTTACTAAAATAGTAAGTAAATAACTCTCAACAATTTAAAATAAAATTTGCTTGTCACACAAAATGGAGAAAATGTTTTCATACGTCCATGATGTTTTCAAACACAAGATCAACTTCGTGATGCTTCGTAAGAAATCATGAACTTCGTGCATCTTCGTATCAAAACAATAAACAATAACAAAGGTATTCATGTTTTGGACACTTTTTAAAGCGTTCACCGAGTCTATATATTATACGTCATTGATTACAGTGAAAAATAGTGCGATGTGCCTGGCCAAACACCTAAGAGGTGGAGGCCAAGAGAGGTGTCAACGAGTACAGTCTGTGGAAAATCATTACACTTTGAACTTATTCGACGAATAACTAACTGTGGATTACAAACAGTTATTGAAACGGAATAAAATTTATTCTACTAATAAATTTTATTCGACGATTAACTATTCAGTGATTTATTTGTTGTTGGTGAAACCGGCCCTAAGACAAACAAACACTTTAAAATTTTTAAGGAGAAGCTACATGTTGTATATAGAGCCGGAGACAGAATGTGCTCCCGGTCTGACGGAAATATAGAGATGTGAAATATAGATATGTGACAAATAGCTTGTGAAGGGCAGTTATGTGATCTGCACCTTTCAAAAATTCTATGACACTAAGTATTTTCGCTGTGAGCCGATGAGTAGAGGGGATTTGACAGTTTTCACCAACGCTGTTAGTGGCAGTTTTGTGCATTTAACTTGTAAACATTCAAATAATGGCGAATATGGATTTTTCAAAAAGAAAAATATATGATACATGTAAAAATACTGGGTACAACAGTCATTGTAAATTTTATTCATTTCCTGTTGCCAAGCATAAAATAGTTCAAAGAGAAAAATGGATTATTGCTATCAATGAGAAAAATAAGTAAATAACCTATAATGCAAACATGATATTTGTATGGTGTAAAATTAAAAAGCTATTATATTCCGAAACATTGCGTACATGCCCTGCATCAACTAAACCTTTTCCCTTTTTTGGTGCAGCTGGTTGAAATGGGATATCATGTGATATAGACTTAAAACCAGTATAATGTTTAATATCCATTTTGATAAAATTAAAACAAATTTAAGAGGTGGAGGCCATAAAACGAAAGAAGAAGAAGAAGAATTAAAACAAATTGATATCTAAGCACTAAGGCCTACGCACACAAAAAATAACTGTGCAAAAACAGAATAAAAATGTAAAATAAAAACAAGAATTACAACGTTAAAGGTAACCTTTAACTAAAGAATATAGACGTTTTAAGCGTCTATAACCTTAAATATTTGCTTTAACCATTAAATATTTTCATATAAACTTCTTCTTTTTCTCAATGACCTCTTGCGTAAGTAGTCATCCAGTCGCAAGAACTTATATCTTAAATATTATAATTATAATGAATAAAATAACAAGGCGTAATTACTTTTACTATTAATTCTGTGTATTCGTTCATTAATCAGTTTACCATAATATTTCAGTTCATTATTTTGTATTTTTAAATAAATATCTATTTTTCTCGTTTTGTCATATTTCATTTACACTGATTTTACAAGAAAAGTACAAGTTTCAAACCGCGAGAGAGCGCTACCGGCGAAACTCACAGCGAATTGACTAAAGGTCCAACTGACACCACTATAGGAAATCAACTGATAAAAATATAAAATTATATAGTATATTTTTTATGTAGATTGAATAATCCCAATCTCACACTCAAACCTGTCTATAATAATTAGGATGTTAGTTTGAGAGCAATTGAAGTTGACATAAAGTATGAATGTGAGAAAAGACTAACAATATATTAGACAGTGGATGGTTGACTACAATAAAATGGTCTACCAAGCGCTATCAGTACTGTAAAAAAGGAAAATCTGAATATGCAGTTAAATTACTAAAAGTTAAAATCAAAATTGAAGACAAAATATATAAATGGGTTATAGTCCAAGTAGTTCAGTTGAATCCACAGTCAATGGAAGAACTTTAAAATTAATATGGAAATGCTCAGTGCATGAAGTCTAAACAGTCGAGCTGGGTCCTCTACAGGTGAAGCTGTAATAAAGTTTTTAAATATAGGATTAAATTTAGTACAATTTAAATTAATTTGAGTATTAAGACAGTGAGAGTTTTCATTTGTTTCCCTTGTAATCTCCAAATCTTCCAATAAATCCAACTCAAGATAGTTTTTCTTTCTGCTAATGTCATGTAAGATAGATGAACCAGAATTGATGTTAAAATTGTGGTTGCTAGATACTAAGTGTTGACCAAAACTTGAAGAATTTGGTCTTTTCAAATGTTCAGAGACTCTAGTGGATAACTTTCTGATGGTTCTACCTACATAAGAGGCATCACAATCATCACATTTTAATTTGTAAATACCACTTTTATCAAGTGTATTCATCTATCTTTGGTATTGATTAAGAAGGAACCTAAAGTGTTATGTGATTTAAAGGAAATTTTGATGTTATCAATTGTAGAAGTAAAAAGTTTAGATATTTTATTGGAAATGCTACTATAAGTGAAGGAGAAATATCTGATGTTATCTGAAGCATTCGGTTGAAAAAACTGTGAAGAATATGCAAGCTTTTCTGCAACTTTTAGTTTAGCTCTATTTAGAAGTTTGTATATAATGTTGGGATCATAGCCATTATTGAAAGCAATCTGCTTAAGAGTATTAAGTTCTGTATTAAAATTATCATCAGAAAGAGAAAATTTAAGTAACCGATGAATGTAACTGTTGAAAGCAGCCATTTTATGTTGAGTTGGGTGATTAGACGTTTCATGTATAACGTGATTTGTTTGGGTGAGTTTTCTATAAATGTTGTACTCTAAAGAATCTTTCTTACGGGAAATAGTCATATCCAAGAAGTTCAACTTATTGTCAGATTTTGGTTCCAGAGTAAAAGAGATGTTAGGATGGAGGTTATTAACTACGTGGACTATAACCCATTTATATATTTTTTCTTCAATTTTGATTTTAACTTTTAGTAATTTAACTGCATATTCAGATTTTCCATTTTACCGTACTGATAGCGCTTGGTGGACCATTTTATTGTAGTCAACCATCCACTGTCTAATATATTGTTAGCCTTTTCTCACATTCATACTTTATGTCAACTTCAATTGCTCTCAAACTAACATCCTAATTATTATAGACAGGTTTGAGTGTAAGATTGGGATTATTCAATCTACATAAAAAATATACTATATAATTTTATATTTCATCAGTTGATTTCCTATAGTGGTGTCAGTTGGACCTTTGGTCAATACTTAGTGTCATAGAATTTTGAAAGGTGCAGATCACATAACTGCCCTTGTGTTTGATTGTCGTTTGATTATCTTAGTGTATTGTAATTTATATTGTTATGTCCAAATTTTACATTTACGACATTCTACTATGTCGGATAGGCCACAACTGACGAAGTAAGTCTATAAACGTTTATCACATATAAAAATTTTTCAACCATAAACTTGGAGTTTTTTATCCAAGTGAATTAATTTTCCTTTTTATAAAAAACGTTTCTTGGCTTATTTCAGATGCCCCTGAAGATGATCTATTGATCGAAAGTACTTGGGCAAGATTAAATTAATCACCGTGTTTGATAGTTGCCTTGTATACCCTTAAAGTTGAATACTAAAGAACCGCAAAATACCTCAATACTTGGGAAACACAGTATTTAACTAATTCCTATCAATATTCAATTCCTATTGTTAGGTATACTCAAAAATTGACAAACTCAATAAGGTGGAAATAACATTAGACAACTTTTTGATGGATATCAGCTGTAAAGAAGAATCTATCAAATTTACTATGGAAAAGAACGACCACCATTTACTACCATATCTGAATGTGTAAATAAAGTAGACAGAAAACCGTAACACATCAACAGATACCTATTTATACTAACTGACATAGAAATCAGAACACCCATTATAAATTATTTCATTTTAATTACACTTGGTAGATAAAAATTTAATTTTTATTACAATTAACTACAGTTTATTCTCATATAAAATATTCAGCGAATGAACAGAAACACAAAAAACAAATTTTCCTATCCTCTTCAATACTGTGAAAATAATAGACTTACCATTAAGTACTTCATTTCGTTTTCGTCAAAATAGCTACTGTTGTGATGTTCAATTAATTTACCAACAAAATCATTAACTCTTTTTCCATTTTTCCAGTAAAAACAGTACGCTACTGGCAAAATGGAAACTTAAACGTGTTCATCCTCACCAAAAATTTGAAAAGCCCCTTATGAATTTTTGTATATTTTAAGATGTAGATGCGGTTAATGTTGATTTTCTCTGCGTAATTATAATTTGACCCCTTTATACCAAACTATGTTACAAAACAAGTTTTGTTTTTTATTTCGAATTGCAATAAAATACCACGTTAATATCAGAACTGTCTGCTTCAATAAAGTCACGTTCCTCCAGTGCGACACACAAAACTGACACAAAGCAGTCCCTACATCTCTACCTAATGGGTCGGGTTTATCAACCACGTGATAAACCCGATGATTACTAATAAAATCCTGGCACAATGTCAGCTTTGTCTCAAATTGCATGCAATAATTATAGACATTTCTAAAATACAACTAAAAAGGTTCCGGGAAAAATTAACAACTAACATAAATAAGAAAATATGTAAGATGAAAAAAATGAATCCATTAATTAATTAAGTGGTCGAATAATATCTATGGTACATAATATAAAATAGATAATTCTAACTAGGCTTTTCTTTTGAGAGCTAACATGAATGCAACATTGAAAAAAGAAGGAACTATTTTAAATATTTATCATTTGCAAACTACTTGTTTATACCTAATCCACCTTCTGCTTATAAGTACAAATAAAATACAGTATGGTCAAGTAAGCTATCTAATAATTCCAATTTAGACATTTAAACTAATTATTTAAAAATTACGTTATAATAAACTATGTACAGCGAACAGTTCTAACATAATTCTGTTAATTGTAATATAACGGTCTTTATCTTGACCTTTTCTTTCACACACTAGAGTCCATTCAATAAATAATTATCAAGCGCGATAAATACTAAGTAACCAGATACTGATTGTCTTCATTGTCATCGTGATTTTTCATTCAGTACATCATTCCAGGATGCATTCCATTTCCTCTTTGAAAGTACACGTTCGGGTTACTGCTCAGTGTGGGTTCTAGCGTTGTATATACATTTCCGTCATCGGGTCGCAGAAATATTCCACCTGCAAAAGTTAAAGAATCTATTAAAATAGAGTATTGTATTAGGTTCATTAAAGACGATAATGTGATACATTGTACAAATTAGGGACAGATAAAATTAATTTAAAATATGCATTATGTACAAGGTACGTGATGCAATCAGTCATATTTCTTCACAGTTTTGATTAAAATAAGTTTACTTTTAATATAGGGTAGTTCTAATGAGCTACAACATAAAAATAATAATTTATAGTTGTTTTTTTATCCTTCTTTGTAGGCTTTGGGGCTTTATTTCCTGTTCCAGTCATAGACATATAATTCAAGATTTCAATACAGTCACGTTCCTCCAGTGCGACAAACAAAACTGACACAAAGCAATCCCTACATCTCTACCTAATGGGTCGGGTTTATCAACCACGTGACCTTGTTATTGGTTATAAGTTAGAAAAAGATGCAGACTTCTTTGCATCAGTTTTCTCTGTTGCACTGGGGTGAACGGGCTGATATTGCAACAATCAACCTATCTTGAATTATAGGTCCATGTTTCCAGCATTAAACTTCGTTCCCTTGAATATTCTGGGAATTGTTCCGTGTATATACTGGAACCTTTTAATTTTGCGATCGATATCCTAATTTAAAAATAATTATTATCTAAAATATCTTTTTTGGTTCTTATGGAGTATTTACATTCAAACGTCACAACTTCCGTCTTTTTATTGATTTTTAAGATCTTTTCATTGATTTTTAAGATGTAACATTGACTTATCAGATGTAATATTGATTTATCAGATACAGTAATCTAAGTATAGCAAGAGAGCTCCATGTAACATTAATTTTGACCGCTCCTGTTGCTTTTCTATTATTTGATGTTATGGTCGCCTCAATAAGTTCTTGCATTGTTTGTATCTCTCGGGAGAACCTTTAACTCCTAGAGAGCGCGTCCACAGGTGGCGGATAGGGGAATGCTCGAGCCGGTTTGCTGGTGGGTAGGAGAGAAATAAAATACCTCCATGGACCAACAGGTAATTCACAGAATGATTGTCGGTTTAAGCAATCCCCTGCTTACCGACCAACGGCTTCGGGCAGATGAGTCGGTAGGTAGTAGGCCACTCTTTTGTCCTGTAGCTGAGAAATCGACTTCAAAGGCGGAAGAACCAATAATTTGGTCAACGGCAGAAGAATGCACAAGGAAACGGGAAACCACTGCATTAAAGACTCGTGTAAGACTCATGAGTATCCCTAGATATCGTCATGGCATAGAAAACAACCTGGCACTTATACATGACCCAAAACTGCCCTATTCGTTCCAAAGCAAAATATGGAAGAAAGGTTACAACTCTGATCTCACCTTCACCAGCATGTCTTTAGAGGACTGTTGCGTTAGGAAGGTATATAAGCCTATACCGAAGACGCAATATAGGTCCGTGGGAATAACTGTATACAGCGCTATAAAAGCTCCCAAAATCCCTTTCAAACGAAGGTTTAATTTCAAAAAGCGAACTGGGAAAAATTTACTGATGAATTGGAAACACAGGTGGAAAATATAGTCCCGATCCCAAAAACTATGATGCGTTCATCAAACTTATAAAACGAATCTCATGTAAACACATACCCAGAGGATGTCAACAACATTACATATCTGGTCTGAACGATGAAGCAAAAGCCATTATGACAAAGTACACCGAAGAATATAGTAAAGACCCATTTAGCGAAGTTACGGCAGAGATAGGGGAGAGACTGCAGCAAATACTAAGTGCCTCCAGACAACAACGGTGGAGCGAGACTTTAAGTAAAATGGATATGACGCACAGTAGTAAGCAGGCTTGGAATATGATCAAAAAACATAATGGTGATCCCACAGAGATGAAAGAGCTATGTGCAATAACGCCAAATCAGATAGCCCACCAACTGCTTCTGAATGGCAAAACAAACAATCGTTGCAAAACGCCAAATATTATAATAACTCAAGACCAGGAAACAACTCTCTTACGAAACCCATTTACCATCGAAGAGCTCAAAAATGGTATTGACTATATGAAAAATGGAAAATCACCTGGGGCGAATGAAACAGAGCAGATAAAACATCTCGGGCAAAAAGCGAGACAATGGGTGCTCGATCTATTTAACATCTGTCGCTCTACCTACCAGATTCCAAAACTGTGGCGCAAATCAAAAGTAATAGCCCTCCTGAAACCTAACAAAGACCCTGAACTACCGAGTAGCTACCGTCCGATATCTCTGCTATGCCATTTATATCAATTGTATGAACGCCTCATTTTGAACCGCATCCAGGAAACATTAGATGTAAAACTAATCCCACAACAAGCAGGCTTTAGACCAGGTAAATCATGCACAGGCCAAGTGCTGAACCTAACAGAATACATAGAGGAGAGATTTGAGCAGAAAGAGATAGTAAGAGTAGCCTTGATAGACCTCACAGCGGCCTATGATATGATAAACCACAGAACCTTGCTAACTAAGATCTATAACACTGTGCTTGACTATGACCTGGTAAATATCATTAGATCACTGTTGTGTAATAGACGCTTCTACGTTGTGCTAAATGGAAAGGAGAGTAGATGGAGAACCCAAAAAAATGGCCTACCTCACGGGAGCGTTCTGGCGCCGTCCTTATTTAACATCTACACCAACTATTGGTATAGCTGTAAAGGGGAAAACACTCACACAAGTAGAGTCGACAATGGAAGATGCTTTAAACATGATGTCAACTTACTACAAACAAAACTCATTAAAGCCAAACCCTAGTAAAACCCAAGTATGTGCATTCCATCTCAACAACCAACTGGCGCATATAAAACTGAATGTTTCTTGGGAGGGACAACGCTTGAAACATACTGATAGGCCCAAATACCTTGGAGTGATACTAGACCGGTCACTAACATATAAATTCCACTGTCAGAGCACAAGACAAAAGGTCTCTACGAGAAACCACCTTCTCCGGAAACTTGTAGGGAGCAAGTGGGGTGCAAACCCCCAGGTCTTAAAGTCAACAGCTGAGGCCTTACGTTTCTCAACAGGGGAATATGCTTGTCCCGTCTGGGGTAGATCTAGACACGCCCAACAAGTCACCACGGCGTTAAATGAAACATGTAGAATCATTACCGGTTGTATGAAGCCTACGCCTCTACACCTATGGTACCGGGTAGTTAAATTCGCATCACCAGACGACCGTAGGTGTGCCTCACAATATGTGAAGAAGTTCAGGCAAACTTTCGATGAACGACACCAATTATACGGGTTTGACGAACCGCCAGGAATCAGCCGACTTAAATCAAGGAAAAGGTTTATGAGAAATGTCAGCGACGAACCACCCGAAGTGTTTCCCCTACATCCAGAACGACCTAATGGAATGAACGAGGACTGGAGAACCCGGCGGACACTTAACCGCATGCGCACTGGTGTTGCCCCTGTAAAACAAAACCTCATCAAATGGGGCATCAAGACAGATAGCGAGGCACTCTGTGAATGTGGGGAAATACAGAACGTGGAGCACCTGAGAGTATGCAGACTTTGCCCATCACAGTGCACCCTCGATGATTTATGGCTCGCAAATACAAAGGCTGTAGACGTAGCCCGATATTGGGCAGAAAAACTGTAGTCGGATCCAGACTCGAAAAAGTAAAGTAAGTCATGGCTTATAGAAATGACAATAAACAACCTACTAATCATGGTTCTTGGATGCCAAGATTTAGCAGGGAAAAAACAATAGTAACGACAGGACTTTCCAGGCCGTTAGCCAGCGAAATCCCTGTTCACTAAAAATATACAAATCCATCTACAAAATCGCTACATGGAATGTAAGAAGTATGTATGAACCTGGGAAACTGAGTAATATACAGCAAGAGATGATGCGACTGGAGATCGATATATTAGGGATAAGCGATACAAGATAGGTCAGCTCTGGCGAACTCAATACAATCAATGGACGAATTTATTACTCTGAAAGCAGCGACACTCAACACAGATATATGGTTGCTATGATCCTTAAAAAGTAACGAGATCAGTAACAGGCTTCGTTCCGATGTCCGAAAGAATTATAAAGCTGCAGCTATTGACAACTCTTGGAAAAATGAACTTAATTCAGATTTATGCACCAACTGCTGACAAAAATGAAGAAGAAATAGAAAACCTTTACAACGAACTTTAAAAACATTACATCTAACAGCATCTAGAAATATAACAGTGATCATAGGTGATTACAATGCAAAAATTGGCGAAGGAAAATGCTACCCTAATGTAGTACCATATGGGTTTGGTGAACCAAATGACAGAGGAGATCGCCTAATACAATTTTGCCAGAAGCATAATGTTATAGCCGCAAATACATTTTTTAAATTAACTAAGCGACGCCTTTATACATGGAAATCGCCAGCTGATAGAGACAACAATATCATCAGAATTTAAATTGACTACATCCTAATAAACCACAGATATCGAACCTTTGATCATAGGCTTCTTAGTGCTAGGTTTTAACTTCAACTAAAGAAGTCGCAAAGAAACCGCAACAACAATGAACTTAACATACAAAAACTTATGTCAAAAGAAACAAAATAAAATCTGAAACACAACTCTAGATAGAAACCCAAGAAATAATTGCAATTTTAGAGAAGCAGTGGCAATTCTTCAAAACCTCTATATCGGAGCCAAGTAAAAAAGTACTTACAGCAACTAAATATAAGAAAATATAGTGGATGACCGAGAAAATTCTAGAATTGATAAATGAAAGGAGGAAAAACAAAACCATCAATACGATCCACTATAAACAGCTGCAAAACCAAATAAGAAGAAAACTTAGGGAGGCTAAAGAAACCTACATCCCTGAAAAATGTAATGAACTGCAGAACAGATATGACAACTTTAATCTACATAAAAAAGTAAAAGAACTAACCGGAGTAGGAAATAGAAGAACCTCAAATATATTGCTCGACAAAAATAAAAATATTATATTAGAGACAGAACAAAAACTACGACGATGGAAAAAGTACATCAAGGAATTATTTCA